GGCTGCTGATGTACACCCTGCAATGATGGACCCGTCGGTAATCATATTAATTACCCCGCAGGTCGGTCTTTCCTCGGGCAATTGCTGCGACGGTTGCTCGTTCTACCTATTGGTCTCGGGGGCATTCCTTCTCTGGTCCCCCTATCGATCTGTTTGCTGATCTGCTTGGCCTCTCTCTTCTCGCTGTATGAAATTCTTTAGGTATCCACGATGGATAAGCTCCTCGATCTTGTCACGGAGGTTCCTGCAATTCTCTGTTTTGTGCCCGTGGTCCCTATGGAAATGACAATAGACATTTCGGTTCCTTGTTGCAGGATCTCCCCTTAACCTGGGAGGCCATATGACGAAGGAGGAATCCTTAATGGCCATTAGGATTTCTCCTCGCTTAGCTCAATGGCGTGTAGTTCGTTCTTTCGACAGGTGGAGTCCTGGAGCGCCGACCTGACTTGCGAGTTCGCGAGTGAGATCGCTTCTGGATTTGTTTCTTCCCCTGCTCGGGGACTTGCTCTTCCTTCTTTTTTGTCTGCCATTACTTTTTTCTTCATTGTCCCTTTTCCTCTTTTCTGTTGGTGGATTGTTGGCCTTCTGATTGATTTCCTCTTCGGTACCGATGAACTGATCGGTTAGCTTAAGGAATTCGGTGATATCCTTTGTTTTGTTGGCCACCACATGCCATTTAAACTCCCTGTGGGTTATTCCTTTCTTTGCTGCAGTGAGTCTTACCGCCGGGTCGAGGTCTGGTATCTGTAAGCATGTGTCGTTGAAGCGCTTAATGTAGCTTCTGATTGATTCTCCTTCCCTTTGAACTACTTTGAGAAGGCTTTCCTATGACTTCGGGCACTTCTTGCTAGTGATGAAGTGGGAGGTAAATAAGTCTGCGAACTGCGACCAGCTTTTGATTGATCCCGGCGCGAGGTTCCGATACCAGGTTTGAACTACCCCTTTAAAGGTGGTGGAGAAGGTTACACACATGCACAACTCATCAGCCCCAGCTAGGTGCATTTGGGACTGGAAAGAGTCCACATGGTCATTAGGATCGAAGGATCCGTCATACTTGTCCAAGGAAGGCATCTTGAATTCTTTAGGCATTGGAGTCGCCAAGAGCTCAGGAGACAAGGGAGATGACCTGCAAAGTAGTGGAGGAGCGGAATTTGCAGCCACCGAGCTCGCTTCTTCCTTACCTTTGGCTTGCCCTTCTCGTTGGCTTGGCTTTGCTAGCTGGCTATTCTGAGCCGAGGTACGACATGCCTTGCGACGTCTCTGTTGTTGTTTCTTTACTGGCTCGGTGTTGGTGCTGCTGACTTTGGTGTGCTCCGGTACCGCTCTGTCGCGAGGTAACTCCTGGTTCCGTGTGGGATTCTGGGGCTAGCTATCACAAGGGACGGAGAGGCCCTGTCTTGAGTTCGCACCTCGAACCCCGAATTGGTTACCTGCTAGAAAACCGTCATTTTCTTGCTGTGAATGCCGAGGAGGATTGGTCCTGTTAGGCTGAGTATCCCCGGACCTGTTTCCGAGGTTCCCTTGCGAGGCCGGTGGAGTAAGCTAACCGTCTCTTCTCCCACGGGACGAGACCTGACTCCTAAGAGGAATCGATACTTGCGAGGTCTCTTCACCCCGATGTGGAGATCGGCTGATGTTCTGGTTAGTCCTAGGCCGGTTTTGATTCTAATGGGCCCCTGGGTGCCGAGGTGGAACCGACTGCTGGTTCTGCGGTAGTGGAGGGAACTGATGTTGGTACTGCTGATAGAAATAATGTTGCTGGTACTATTGAAACTGCTGGACCTGCTGCATTTGGATCTGGATAGCCCGGACACACTGAACCAGGTCGTTGAACTGGGACTGCCCGATTCCGAGGGGGAACCACAGAAGGTTAGAAGGTTCAGAAAAAGTTGTGCCTACCGGTGGGGGAAGTGGGGCGCTCACATATGATGTACCCTCTCGTCTATTTGATTTTCATCACCCGATTGTTTGATCTTTTGTATTTTGACGATGGTTTCTCCTTTGTAATCTCCCCGCTCTATTCTTTTGGCTCGTCTTGAGGGATTTCTCTGCGTAGTTCAGCAGTACCGAAGTGGCAGATTCTGACGATGAGCGAAGGATCCGTGACGATCACATTACTATGATGTAGTTGCGAACGAAATGCACACTTACAGTTCACACCCGTAGAGATTTCTTCCATGTTCAATAAGCCCTTTAGGCGAGATTGAACATCACACCTAAAAACTTATGAAGTGGGAAGTGGTCATAAGCTGCATTCGATGAGATTGGTTGCCCCCTGCTTTCTACAAATAATGATTGAGTTGCAGCAGTGAGATCAGTGGAGGCGATGGTCATTGGATGCTACATAATCGCCATCATTTCCGAAAGGAGGATGGAAGCCGCTATAGCAACTCTAGCGCGCCTGAATCAGTTTTCGAACATAAAAAGTGATTCGGAGCAGAGATTGACGGCCTATCTGCTCTTCGGTCCCGAAGCTGCCTGCAAACGGTGCATTCATGGTCTTAGATGTAGGTTCCAATTGTTTTGCTCTCCATGTCTTGTCTGCATTCCATCTCCAAACACCAATCATGTCTTATTTACATTAAAGCCCTCCCCACAAAGGCATATCCTTCAGAAGACATTTCCCATTATTGGTGGGAGGAGGTCATCAAATCTCCAGCCAGAGATCCATCGAACTTTCAAAATCTTGAGTTGTCTCTCACTGCTAAGGAAGCTATCTACTGATGCATTCCAACTATCCTCAAGATATGGGATTTGAAACTCAAGCGCCGGCAGTTCTTAGGAGCATTTCCTTCGTTAAGCACTGCTTCCTCAGATATGGTCTTCAGTTTTTTCTTTGGATTAGCATCTTCAATAAATTTAGAACCACCACTTTCCATTGTCGAGGAAAGAACCGATGAAATTTCAGGTGTCTTGGGCTCACATTCTCCCCAGCGAAAGTTAGAGCAATCAAAGGAGTTACTTCCTTGGTCTGAATTAAAGCACATGATGGTACCATCGGAAAGGGGAAAATGATTTGAAACCGATTTGGTCTTCCACAATGGGGACGGAATTCAAGTATTCAGATGCTTTAACTGGTGCCTTTTCTTCCATAAACCTTGGATTATTGTAAAAGTTTGAATTTGCATGGTTCATAAAAATGAAACTCTGATTCACAGAGACCAAATTAGGCCTAGGAAGTGGCTTCTCTATGCTTGGGTTAGCAATGCACTTTGGAGCAGTAGGGTGAGCCTCTTCAGGGAAATTCACCTTGGCCAAAGCAGTTATGGGACAATATTTGAACATAGACACTCTCAAGGAAATACAATGACGTGGTTGTGAGGTTTTTGCAAACATCCATAAACCAGAATTCGGACTTTATAAATCGTGGTTCTGAGGCTAGGCACAAAATTAATGACTGAACTCTCAAGGATTCAGCTTAATTTCATTATTAAATATGAATCATGCCGATGCGATGCATCTTCTAACAGTTCACCGCCTTCAGGGATTTCTACGATGTTCAATCAGCCCTATAAGCGAGATTGAACATCGCACCTAAAATCTAAACTTATGAAGTAGGAAGTGGTCACCATAGCTGCTAGTTGTTACAGGAATCCCGAATCCGAAATAAAGAGAGAAAAAAAGATAACTAGACGAGAGGAGAGAGAGACCGAAGGAAAGGGGGGAGGTCTGTTGCAACTTAAGGCTATGTTTGGTTTGAAGGAAAAAGAAAGGAAAGGAAAGGCAAGAAACCCTATACAAGGTTTGTAAAGGTTTTTCTACCTTTCCTTTCTTTTCCCTACTTTTTCCTTCAAACCAAACACAGCCTAAACAAACAGATAATTCATATGTTCTATTACAATTTAACGATAATGGTAATTGTTAGATATAGTAGGGTGGTTTAAGACAATAGTTAAATAATAAGGGTACAGTTTATCAATTAACTAAACAGTAGGGACAATTCAAAAAATTTGCCGTTATACTTTTTATTTTTTTATTATAAAAAATAGAATAAATTACATATAACTACCTGAACTTTCAATTACAATACAATACTTGAGTAACTTGAACCCTCAAAAATACACTTGGGACTATTTCATCAATTAATCATTAATATAATACTAAAAATATTCTTCGAATGTATCTCTGAGAACATTTTCAGGCAACTGAACGTCTCGTTCTCACATGAATAGCAAATAATATATTGAAATTTTCTGACAAACATTCTATAGTAATGATTTTTACTCTACAGAATAATCTCAAAAATACACAAGATGTTTAACCGCCGGAGTGCTAACAAATGAACCCAAGTGTATTTTTAAAATTTCAAAGTTCCTACGTAATAACGGCTCCCCATAATAATGTTCTCACATGAACAGCAAATAATATGTACGATGATGATGCCCTTCTTCGCAATCTGGACCAGATGATGGTCCTTTCTACGTATTCATGGAGCTGCGTCTGCTGACAAGCGGTAGAATATGATTTCATTCATGTCCACTTTAGTCGTTGATTTCTGACATTTTTACGTAGAAACCAAGAAAGATGGCGTCCCACTTACCTCCAGCTGCTTGTCAACTTTTGATTTGTCTGCCCAATTTTAGAGCTAAGCCCTAAGCCTGAAAATACTTAACCGAAGAATTTGAAATCCCTTATCAGAAGTTTTGACTTTTATTTACCCAAAAAAAAAAAGAAGAAAAAAGATAACAGAATTCTAGATCAAGGCCAACCCCACTAACCCGCAGACAAGGTCTAGGGTTTGGTACTGGACCACTGGTACCTCGCCCTCCCGGACGCATTGTCAACTGTTAATCTAATATTGCTCCTGAAGATCACGTCTTCAGCCAAGTATGGTATGGCGTTTATAAGCCTCTCAAGCGTACTTTCAGATTTGGTATATCAGTGCAGCAATCTCAACTCTCAAGCATGACTTGGGCAGTTCCGATATAGCATCAGTCAAATGTTGAAAACAAATGAAATAAGGATTGGTTAACACTTGCTGAAAACAAGAATCCACACCATGAACAACACCAAGGGTCTCAACATTTCATTCCAGATGAGGAAAAGATTAACAGATTCAAACTGTAAAGGAAAAAGGTAATACGACCGCCAAAACATCTTATTAACACTTTTGTGTCGAACTCTCCAAATGGTATCAAGAAGAATCATAAACATTCAAAATCATTATAGACAATGTGGAAGGTCAGCCACAACAGAATCGAACAAGCATATCTCACTTGTGGGAGAGCTTGAAATACAAGATCAAGATGATTGCGATAACGAGGACTGCAATTACGAAGCCAATTATCCATTTGTTCCTGTTCATCCTTCTTGACATGGCAGTCAAAATCTTCTTGCTCTTGCCAATATTGTCATCAACCCCATGAAGCTGCAAAGAAAGAACATACACATATGAATATATAGATAAGAATACATACACAAATCCACATCTTAGTGCTTTCAACAATTTTGAGTACAAAAGATCTGTCTAATACATAATGCACCAGTCAGGTCTTGGATGGAAAATCAAAATAGCATACAAGATAAGAATACATACACAAATCCACATCTTAGTGCTTTCAACAATTTTGAGTACAAAAGATCTGTCTAATACATAATGCACCAGTCAGGTCTTGGATGAAAAACCAAAATAGCATACAATGTTATCCATCTGAATTGCTAATAAAATACCATTGCCGCATTCCTAAGTCAGACTCGATGAGTCAGTTGCACATGTCAAACACCAGAAACTGTCTACTTGGTTGGCTTAATGCACCAAGTAGCATACTAAAAAATGGAATGGTTATACAACTGACGTCTACAGAGGATATATGTCAATACTAAAAATACAAGTAATAATTCCATCAGAGCATGTCTTATCTATTACAGGGATATACAGGGATAAAGATTGTGCTAGGCTATATTTATTAGGGAATTAGGCATTCATTGTCCTAATTAAAGAATAGGGTCATCATCAGCACTCAAGATTGTTTCAACATGTGGTTGTGTAGGCCTTTGTTGCAGAATCTCTACATATATGCATAATATTTCAAAACTCACATGACACACACTGTACTCCCCCCCCCCCCCTTTTTTCAATCCCATAAATGAATCTAGAATTTTAGCCTTGAATGACTCCCAAACTCATTACATGTCGGATTCTGAATCCTGTAATGCCTGTACCAAAAAAAGAAAAACCTGTCATGTCATTGCCACACCAATAATACTATATCTAAACCAGAAAAAAATCATATATTGGCATATGGATTATTTGGTTGGCATCCAAAAGCTAGCCCCCCAGAGTCCACATTGATCATTGGCAATATTTCTGTCTATGACTCTGGGATTAAAAAACATCAAAAACATTAATCAAATTGCCAGTCCATGTGTTAAGCAATGAAACAAAACGTTGGAAAAGCAGAGATAAATCACTGTAGAAAGTAAGCATGAACTGTAACCAAGAAAAGGCTGAAATACATACAGTGTCATGAGCATGCAGGAGAGCCTGGCGTTGTTGATGCAAATCTTGAAGGATAGAAACACCTAGATCTTCCGTCTCCAGCATTGTTCTTCTACTCTCCTTGATTCTGTCACCTGACTGGTTTAATCTCTCAGTTGCCTTTAATAATCTAGTTCTTTGGTCAGCAGATGCCTGTACATAATCCATCAAATTATATTGATGCAAAAAGATTTTTCTACTAATCAACTTAAGATAATATATCCCCCAAAAGGTAATAGGAAAGATGTTCCATGATGGTATGTATGGAAATGTAGCAAAAATTCAAGAACAGAAGATGCTCCAAAGGCAATATAGAAAAGAAAAGCTACAATGAATATGAGCATCTAAAACTTCGGAAAACAGGAAGTTTAAACAATAAACATTTCAGTTGGCAGCAGATTTAAATTTGGAGTAAGGCAACTGAAATGCACAACAGCATTAACCAGAAATAAGTATTGTTCTCATCAAGCTTAAGAAAAATATACAGGGCAACAGAAAACATGCTATATTAATCCAGACATACCATCAGTGTATCTGTCATTCCTGACTCCAATAATTCATCCCGTGCAGCCTGATTAGCATTAGTTGATGTGATTCTTTTAACCTCACTTTTCAAATTGTTCAGATCAGACTTATACTCTCTCAACTTTGCAAGAAGCATGCCTTTTACATTTGGCTGCAAGCTTCTTGCCTCAAGGTCCATCTTACGAATCTGAAGAAAGACAAAGCTCGAAATTAAAAACAATGATAAGGATAAGAAGTCTGAAGAAACAGCAGGTCTAGAATTGTAAAATATATGTGTATCTATAATTTGATCAGTACCAAAGACTCAGCATCATCCAATCCAGCTTTTATTTCAGAAACCTTTTGTTTCTTTTGCTCTGCAAATCAAAACAAACAAATTATCATCCATAAAAAGTAAAGGAGAAAGGATTACACATAAGCAACAAGTTATAAGTATATAGGTTTAAATTGCCAGTTAGAACTTAGAAGACTTTATGCTACTTCAAATGTTATAATACCAACATAGTTTCTTCCATTGTCTCTTTTATAATGGGAAACTAATAGTGGCAATTAGCAACCTTCTTTTTCTTACGAAAGTTCTATTAAATTGTTTCTCCCTCAGGGACATAAGAGGCACATTAACAGCATTAAGAATAAAACCTACTGGCTCGGTGGCTCCATATTTCTCTCTAAGCTTTGTTTGTATCATCATTCATTTTCTCTTTGAAAAGCAAGCAAACATATGAGTATTATCGATTTTGTTTTCTTCTAAAAGCAGAAAATAATCTCTCAAACGAACTCAAAACTAATCATCAAAGCAGATGCATAGCCTCTATGGGTGGATCATTCCAAGCATTGTTTACCAGTTAAATAAAAAAAAAATGAGAACATCAAAGCAAACTAAGGAAGTCTTCAGCAATATGCATGATATTATTTTTCAAAACAAAAATAAATTACCACATCAGCAAAAACAATATGATTTTGTTGATGCAGCAGTTGCAGAGTTGCTATTGATTTGAAAAACAAAATAATACATATTGACAAACACCCCTTAAAACACTGGAACCTGGGGAGGTAGCAGAGAAGAGGCTAACTAATTTCAACAATCAAAAACATCTACAAATAAATAAGTATACAAATACCATTAATCATTACAGTCATAGTAAAAAATTCAATAACAGAAATCAAGCAATGTGCGTACCCATCACATAATATCCTACAAATGAAGGCACGGAATATGAAGGGAAGACAAAAGGGATATTCATATTAAGCTAAATTCAGGAAAAAAAAAGGTTGTGTACGGAGAAGGGAGCTCATCTATTACCACCATCAAGGAGACCAGCAGAGGTGCACTTTCTGGACAGATTCGCTGAGAGTTCACAATATTGGCGCTCGTATCCTTCAAACACCTCACTCATCGTGCTCGAAGTTCTTACTAATAAATCGTAGATAGTTAGCAGTGTCTATACCTATAAAAAGGCCGAAACTTTGCAACCTTTCCAAATGAAATGAACTTGGTTAACAAATATTATTTAAGAAAGAAAAAAAAAAAGTTGGATTCATCTATACTGCCTTGCAATTGCTCTAATATGATTAATTAATTAGCAGAACCCTAGTTCTCTCTAGTTGAGCAATTGAAAGAGCAAAGCTCTGTATTTCGCCGAGAAAAAGCAACGAAAGATTGGAGGGTATTATCGTGGTAGAGATAGATCGGCCGAATATAAACAAAACCCAATAATTTTCTAACAATAGGATGATTCATGAATAGACAGAGAAGTTATCGATATAAGGAAAAAAGAATTTAGGGGCAATACATTAAAATGAACGCTGAAAAAAGCACCTGAGTACAATCCGAAACTGAAATTATCGCCAAAAATTACAGGAATTGCCAAGAAGAAATACGGATTCCGATCGAAGACAACTGGGACGTAAAAGTTGAGTTGGGTTGGGTTTTTTGAAGGATCAGAAAATATGGCTAACCAAGCTTGGATGGACCGAGCTGTTTTCTTCGACGTGTCTCAGGCAAAGAGATGATGAAGTTTCGGAAGTGCCCTTCTCACCTAAAGCCAGATGAATGTGATACGACTCAGTACGAGGGGTCGGGTCCCTCACCCTCACTCCCTGTTGCGGAGTAGCGAGTCGCGACTAACAATTATTTCCTGGCGTTGTCGTGTCGGATTCTCCAATGCGCAAAATGATAAGAGAGTATGGTTGGAAAGAGTAGCTGTGCAAATAAAGTCATCATCTGCACTGCTCGAAAAAGCTCTCTTTTAGTCTTCGGTGGAAAGGTGGTGTGGGTTATTGGTGAAAACTGAAAAAGGGAAGATCTCTCCGGAGGCGATAACAGTGTAACTGCATTGTCCATGATCTACGCTGGAAGCCTGGAACATTCCATTGTTTTCACTTTGAATAGTTGACTGTTGAACTCAGTTCGCCTATCAATCTGATTCACATCAAACGGTGGGGAATTGTTGTTCAATGCTCACAGCATACACACGAGTCCGGATCTCCTGCCCAAACGCTACAAAAGGCAGAAATAATATGCGATGGGATGGGATCTGCTTTAAAAACAAAAATCGTGGACATATCTGAGAGAACGGCATCGGCATCCGCCATCCAGCCATACACAGGGCATATCTCCCATGAATTTAATATACGAAGTATGGGTCTCAACTCAACGCGCAGCTGGATGTCGTGTTTCTCAGAGTGAGTACACGATTTTTGCTTAGCAAGAACATTCATTTGTAACAAAGACTATTCTAGTTTAGTACCATATAATTTGTGTTTAGTGTTATTTTGATTTTAGAACTTTAAAATGTAATAATTCAGTATATAAATTTTCAAAATATGTCAACCTAGTACATGTTATTAATCAATTAGTTAATCAGCCGTTAAGTGGCACTTGAAAAGATACAAATGCTCTTTGAGTATCATCTAATTCTTTTTATCAAACATCCAAATATTGCCAAAAAATGAACAGTCTCAAATCATTGCCTCTTCTATTCAAGAAAGTCAGGGTCCCGTCTTAATAGGTATTCTGGTGATCGTAACCTTCTTTAATAGAAGAGGCAAGAATTTGGGATTATTCATTTTTATCATAGTTTGGATGATTGATAAAGAAAATTAGATGACACTTGAAGGGCATTTGTATCTTTTCAAATACCACTTAACAACTTATTAACATGTTGATTAATATTAGGTATTAAATCAACATGTTTTGAAAATTCAGAGACCAAAGTAGCACTGGATCCAAAGTACAGGATATTGATCGGGATTTTTCCCTAAATTTTAAATTCCAAAGGCTTTGCCTCTACCTATTAATTGGATTCATGGCATAAGTTAATTTACTAAAATGCCTTCATGAGATTTGTATGATATCAAAATGACAAAAATGGGTAGAACAAAGCAATTTATCTCTTTCTGACCCACTTTAATTTTAAACCATTGAACAAAACCCTCACCGCAAGAAAAAAAAAGAAATAAACATAAATAAATGGAAAAATTGTCCCATAAGGAAAGGGTAACATGGAGATTTAGAAATATTTAACAAGTACATGAGAATCATACGAGATTCTTATTTAAAAATTAAGTGTTGAAACTTGGAATGCTAAAGGAGAGGGCAAAGTGTTGAAATATGAAAGTTTAAAAGGGCCTTTATCACAAATGAAGGCTTAAGGAGCTAAGGCCCTATTTGGTTCATAGGAATAGGGGTCTGGAATTGGAATTGGAATCGGAGTGGGTTATTCTAATTTCAACTATTTGGTTAGGTGGAATTGGAATCTCATTCCCATTCCTATTGGAATGGCATTTCCCCATTTGAGGGAATGGCCATTCCCTACCCCTCGTTTGGAATGAAATCTCATTCCAAGTGAGTTCAATTTCAATTCTCATTCCTGTTTGAACCAAACAAACTATGGGAATAGACCATTCCAATTCTGATTCTGACTGCAAACCGAACCGACCCTAAGTGTCATTATTCCCAAAGTATATGGTGTTAATTTATAATTTACCCATTTTGTCCTTGTGTTGGATTCCCAAAGTATATGGTGTTAATACCCCCAAGCTTTGTAGCTATGTTTCTATTTGTTTGCAATGTGAATCTAAATTAGATACAAATGTTGCATTGGGTTCAATATGCCATTCATGAAAAATTATATTCAAAGCCAGCTCACACTTGAAATTAGATTGCAGGTTGGTCCAAAAACCAATAAAACTCTAATAACCAGCCCTTCATTTCAAATTATTAAAATCCTAACCATATCATCAAAGGTTTATGTGGTTATTGTTAATATGGGACTCTTGATTCATGTTGGATACAGCCAAAAATCCTATAGCAAAATTGCCCTTAATGTTGGGTGATTTGAAAATAAACAAAAAGGGTTTTCATTTTCTCTCCCACTCCCTCTATCTCTTAATATCCCTCCCATTCTCACTTTCATAGTCATGTTATCTCTCTACTTAATGACTATGTAATTTGAAAATAAACAAAAATGAATGGTTTTCAGTTTCTATATTTATGTTCCCTCTGTCAATTTCTCTCGTTCTCTCTTTATCAATATATTGTTTTCCCTTAACCTCTCTCATTCTCTTTCTCGGTCAATCTCTTAATCTCTCACATTCTCTTTTTTGGTTGATCTCTCATTCTCCCTCGATCTCTATCATTCTCTCTCAATCTCTCCTGTTCTCTCTCATTCTTTTTTTTTTACACACTTATATGGTATTAATCAAACTATATAAAAGAACATAATACCAACTTGGTATGGTTCTAAAACCATTGCACCAATTTGATAAAAATTCACAAGAAACTCTTGGCTATGAAATTTACACCAACTTGATAGAAATTTATAACTTGATTAATCAAACTGTATAAATATTATACAAGTGGTTGGCCCCTTGACTAACTTAACAACTTACACACGGTATTAATCCGACAGTATAAACAAACATAAGACCAACTTGATAAAATTCACAAATCATTATACAAATTTGACAAAAGCTTACAAGAAACTCTTGACCAAGTTGATGTAATGATTTTAAAACCATACCAAGTTGGCCTATGTTTATACGGTTTAATTAATACCATATAAGTGTGTAAGAAAAATAAAAAGAACAAGAAAATGAGAGAGAACAATAGAGATTGAGGGAGAGTGAGAAATTGATCAAAAAAGAGAATGGTAGAGATTGAGGAAGAACGAGAGATTGACGGAGTGACAAAAAAAGAGATTGATAGAGAGAGTGTGACTATGAGAGAACAGGAGAGAGAACGATTGAGATGAGAGAGAATGGAAATATAAAAACTAAAAACCCTTTATTTATTTTCAAATCACACAATCATTGAGTAAAGAGAGATGCCTGTGAGAGTGAGAGAGTGTTAGGGAGATCAAGAGATGAGGGAGTGGGAAAGAAATTGAAAATAAATCCTTTTTGTTTATTTTCAAATCACCCAACATTAAGAGCAATTTGGGTATAAGCATTTTGTTGTGTCCAACATGAATTAAGAATCCCATATTGGCAACAACCTAATTTTAAATGTACAGTCAATTTTGATTATAATTTTCCCTTTTTGTAATTATGATTTGCATTCTTACATGATACGAAATTTGTATTTTTGTCTCTTTTGCATTCATTAGCTATATAAATTTTGCATCCCAAAAATTGAATGCAAAAATTTGCACCACCTTCCTCTTACAGTCCTACTTCAATTCTTTATCATAAAAGTGGGTATCAACAAAGTCAAACATACCTCAACTGCCTTGTTTCCTCTCTATCTTAGCACTGCACTCCTGGCTTTGCAATAAATTACATGTGTAGTTTTGACAAGTGGACCTTTTTTTTCAAGAAGTAACTTGTACATGTACACATGCATAAGACTTGTACACACAAAAGAGGAACACTACATACAACACAAAAGCTTAAGCAATTAGGTTATGGGCCATTTTTTTATATAATAAGTCCCTTACACCTCTCATTCTTTTCCAATGTGAGATTTTCTTCAACTAATCATATGTGAATCCCAACACAACTAATGGTTAGATGTTGTATAAACATCCATCCTTGAATCTGCTTGGTTAATTATGGAAAAAAATGATTTCCAAGTTTCTTTGGTTAGGAAAAACAACATGCCTTTACAGACAGGTTAATACCCAGCAATATGGTTTTAAAGCTCAAATTATGGCAGCGTCAAAACAACTCCAAGTTTGCACATATTTACCCCCCCCCCCCTTTCATTTCCTTCTTCACATATTCCATTTCATCATTCCCATTTGATTCCACAAAGGAAAATAATTCTTGGTTTCTTCTTTATTTTTTTTCATTAGCATTTTATTGCTTTCGTTTTTTATTATTTTTGGATAAATCTCTTAAATTATCTTTATTGTTCACAAAATTGACAAATTATACCCTTACTGTTTACATATTATCTTAAGCTACCCTTAAGTTTTTTGACAATTGTCTAAAATCTCCTTTGTCGTTAATTTTCTGTCACATTCCATTCACATGTGACATCATGTGAGTATTAATTATTTTAAAATTCCTAAAATACCCTTATTGTTCACCGCCGCTAATGGAAGTTGTAGCGGTGGCGGTGATTTTGATTTCTTTGTTTCCGAAAAATTGTGTGCTTCGCCATCTGAAGACAATGAAGATGGTGGTGTTCCCTTACCCCAAATGTGAAGTACTACCAGAACGTCGCCGAAACTTCTTAGAGTTCAATTATTGCTCCTAGATGATGGAACCCCTATCCTAGGTATCAAGGTACCCCAATCCACATGCAGTCGGGGTCCGAGTGGGAGTTGATGGCAAGCTAAAGAACCCCAGGCGAAGGGTCGAGCCCCTCGCCATCCAAACCCATAACCAACCTGCACACTCCATGATGAGGGTATAGTTTCACCTTACAAAGCTGCAACTGATGCATGGACGTGACAACATTGTTGATGGAGTTGGAACCCAAAAGCCATTTGATTGATGGGTTGTTCGGTGACAAGAGTGGCGAGTCGGATGGCGGGGACATCGGAGGAGATATCAAGGTCGATGTAGGAGACGATATCATCATAAGAATCAAGAGCCTATTGAAGCAATTATCCATCATAAGACTTAGGTGACACCTGCGTTCTCAAACTTTGCTGGGGTAGTACTTGATGTAGGTGCATTCGAATAGCCCAATGGTGGGCCTACACGTGCCTATTAGCGCGTCTCAGGGCGAAGCCAATCAGAGAACAGGCAGAGCCGAGCTTAGTAGACCTCGCAGGGCCAATCAAGGCATGCTCAGGGATGAGCTTGGCGGGTCTTGCGAAACCAATCATGCTGCGTCACCTGGCGGCCTTAGATGACCGCGCTCCTTGCATACGGGCTTTATCTCGACCGCCCAAGCTCTGCCATAACCTGAAGACCTCAAGTATAAATAGAAGGTACCTCCACTAAGGTAAAGGATTCAGAACTTAAGACTCAAACTCTCCTTGAGATTTTATATCCTTCCCTGTGGCCTCGTCTAAGTTCCTTCGTACCTCAAGCCTCAACCACCTCGTACCAACGTACTAACTTGACCGTCAGAGTACCTGCCTCGGGTTTTCATCCGAGGCCTCTGACATTGTGCTCCTCGTAGGATCTGTCCCCCATTCTCGGCCACCTCGGGCCTCGGACACCTTGCACCTCAGACACTTCGGCTAACCACCTCGGTTCAAGAGCGAATTTACTATGTTGTCCTTGACCAATACTAGCATCAACAATACTCATAAATGCTTTGTGAGAAAAAAAATAGACACGATGGCGGGAAACTGATCGGCCATCGAGAATTTGGATTGATCGTCGGTGGCCCAAAGCATCGGTACTCGATTTTTGCTTTTTTTTTTTTCCAATTTCCCCTTTTTATCGAGCATGGGTTTCCGTTTTTGCTTTTAATTTCCCCTTTTGCAGTTTGCTCCGGCATGTCACTGCTACTGACTTGTCGTTTGTAACTTTCTGTCTCTCTTTCTTGACCTGGTTATTGTTCTATGCAACGGCCGACCATCCAACCGCTGCATATCCATGTTGTCGGCGATCTAACGTTTTTGGTCCTTTGATTTATAGGTGAAGGTGGAAAATTCCTTTCGATTATTCTTTACAAAAGTCACAAAGATCTTTTCACTCCTCAACTATTTGATAAAATTCCATTGAGAAGTCTATTAAATTGCATTTCAACCTTGTATCTATCCGAACAATAACATTTATGGTTTCCTGTATCCAATTCATTCCAATTCCAAGCAAATCAGTCCGACTTGCGGAGGAGGTGCGATCCAACCCCACTCCCATGGTTCTCTCTCTCTCACACACACCTAACCAGCGACAACGACCTGCTGAAACAGCCATTTTCTAGTAAGTTCGAAATGCCCCTAGGCCAGGGTTCTGATACGGGCTACGAGCTACGACAACTGGTTGATTACTGTCGCGGCAACTGGTGAGTTCGAAACGCCCCTCTCTCACAGTGAAAGGCAGGGGAGTGGAACTCGCTGTACAGATCGGCGACCATATCGTAAAATATCATGCATTCGTGCGGCACATTCAATTCCTTGGGTGCATGATTCTTCACTTTCCTCCCCATATGACAAGGGTATTTTAATTTTTAAGAATAAGGGTCGCCTGCGACAATGAATTTTTAGGAATTAGGGTACTTTGTATAAAACTGAGAGCCAAGGTCTGTACAAATTTTTGTAAAGAACGGACGGTGTAGAAGAACAGTAATGATAGAATTTAACACCAGAATCTTCGAATGAATCGGTATAGACAGTCATTTGGGTTTTATTTTGAAATTTTGATGAATAGTGAAGGATAAATAGATATTTTATTTCTTTATGTTAGTATTTATCAGCATGTCAATTGTTAAAAAACTTAAAGGATAACTTAAAGACAAGTGTAAAGAATAAGGATACAGTTTGTCAATTTCATAAATAGTAAGGATAATTTAAGAGATTTATCCTCAATTTTTTGGTAAATGCTTCGCTTTTTTATTTGATCTTTCAATTTCAGTCGAAGGGGGATTGCTTGGTACTAGAAGAAACTCTCAGTCACTATTTCAAATTTGAAAAGTAGCTAGTCAAATGAACCCACATAACAGGTGTAGGCCTACAAACTACAATAAATAACGGGGTGTTGCCAATATACATGTTTTTTATTTTTAAAAACCATAAGTGTTACATCGACAAAAGTTACTTATTGTTTTTCGAATGCTAAGGTTGCATTTGGGAATATTCACTCTTGGGAAATTCTTTGCTTGGGAATATTCACTCTTGGGCAATATCTTTCGTCCAAACAAAGTTTCAATATGTCTCAGGCGAACTAATGGTAAAGATCATAGTTTAGAGGGATAGAATTGAGAGGTAATCGGATAGACTAGAGACAAAAACTTGCAAACCAGGCTGGGCAACCTATCATGAGTAAACACATCAGTGTTTCGCAAGGTTTTAAAAATTGGACCGGACATGAAACCGTTTTGGGGATTGGTTTCCAAGTTAAACGGTCTAACCATCCGATTCGAACAAATGGCCCATTCTAATTTAAAAAATTAAAAATTTTAAAAATTAATTAAAATAAAAACGGACAAACACTATTGTCCGAGTCGACAGGCCAGCAAGTGGCTAATCAAATCAATGGTTTTTGGCCCATGAGTGGTTTTAGGGTGAAACGGAACCGAGCCAGCTCTTGAGCTACTCGGGCTTGGCTCACTAAATGTTCAAACTCAACTTGAAAACTATCAAGTTGAATCGAACTTGACTAGAGTTGAGTAGTTAGTTGAGCTAAGTTTGAGCTTCATAATACCTGCCTCAAGTAGCTCGTGAGGCTAATCATGCTTCCAATAAAATATTATTTTTCAATATATTTTTATTTATAATATTTAATAATATTTATTTATTTATAAGTTTTAATATATAATCAAGTTTTCTAATATATTTTAATTATTAATTTATTTATAATTTTTAATAACAATTTATTTATAATTGACTCGAGACGAATTGAACTTGAATAGCTCGTGAGTATTGACTAGTCAAGTTCGAATATGGAACTTAAACCCTAACAATTTATTTATTTATTTATAAGTTTCAAGTTCTAAGTTCTGAGTGTTTGAGTCAAACTTGAGCTCAAACCACCCAAAACTCAACTAGACTCAACTCAATTGCACCCCTAATCTGTGCACATGGGTCCATGTGGGATTGCCATCAGATATTAGACCACTTTTTGAAGTTGATTATCATTAGTTGTATCCCCTTGATTAGCTATTAAACTGATTTTTGCCGTTTTCCTACCAAAAAGACTCAATTTTATGCATTATGTTTTTTGGGAGAAAAACATTATTGCAAGGTTCAAAAAATTGAAATGTATCGGCCTATATTGGCCAATACGCCCCTATAGAGGGTGTATTGGGGTTTTGACCAGTTCAAGGGTGGAGGAACCTTAAACCGAATTTAAAAAAAAAAGTTAAAAAAAATAAAAAAAAACAGTATCGATACTGTCCAATATGCCCCTACCGGCGTATCGATATTTAGAACCTTACATTATTGTAGAACAATCTCGAGTCTTCAAATTGTTGTGTAGACCATGGTTACCAATAATGCAAGCTCTTTTTTTTTTTTCTTTTACATTATGTTTTTTTTTTTAAGAAACGTTTTCTTACCAAATAATATATCCGGGTGAAGGCAGCAGGACTCAATCCCATGTCTCTTCTAAACCCAGTTAGAGAGACTTAGCAGTTATCTGTCATCTTACGAATTACTAAATTAAAAAAACATTGATTTTATTAAGGGGATGTAACTCAGATGGTAGAGCGCTCGCTCTCCATCTTATCTTTCCAATTTGTCTTTTAAGCTATCAACTTAAGAAATAATTGTTCTTTTTTATTAAGGGGATGTAGCTCAGATGGTAGAGCGCTCGCTTAGCATGCGAGAAGTACGGGGATCGATACCTCGCATCTCCATCTTATCTTTCCAATTTGTCTTTTAAGCTATCAACTTGAGAAATAATTGTTCTTTTTTTTTTTTGTATTGACTGATGAAAGATTGGAACGTGGTTTGGGTCTTTTATTTCAAAAACTCAATCTGCTAATAATAAGGAACTTTGATGGCTGCACAGGTTCTCCTAATCTCTCTTTGTGTCCCAGTAAGCACCTCTACAGCCCCCAGCTTGACCATGGCTTCCCCAACCCTGCAGGAAATTTGACGCCGTTGGCTAGGGAAATAACTGTGAATTTCGTCGAAGAATCCAGAGCTAGTGCTTGGTCGATCGGAAGAATCCCTCTCCTCATCAGCAACTGCTTGTAGAAAGAATTGTCCACAACAAGCGGACTCATCTGGTCCACGGCGACTGCATTGTCCACTGCTGCATTCTGAGGACACGTTGATCTCAGAATGGAAACAGGAGCAGGATCCATTTCTGGATCAGGTCCGCCGGTGTTCTGGTAATTGTAGAAACGATCACTAATGGTCGAACAATGAGTGATTCCAACAGTGTGACCGCCTAAAATAGTAATCAAGAACAAATTAATCTGTGAAATTAAAAATATATAACGAAGCAGGAGAAGGAAGCAAGAAAGAAGTAAATAAGAAGAACCATGTCTGTGGCAGTGAGTCCTTTCTTAGCAAATGCTGCAATGGCATCGGTGACTGATATCGAAGGCCCCGGGAGGTCGACATTAGCAGCTAGAGAAACCAGACCGTCCCTTCTTCGTATCTCCCTCCCCCACTCTGGGTTTTCGCATTAGTCAAATAAATTAGAAATCAGTACTACCAACTGATAAAAATAAAAAACAAATCTTTGGGTTGTGATTTCAGTAGGATTAAAAGCAAACCCATATAGCCAAGAGAAATTTGTTCTTAGTTTGGTTGCAATGCAAATAAATCTGCACTGATGCACAATTATGTATGTGTTTGGAATTATGGGCATTTATTCATTAAATGTTTGTACTTGAATTGTTTGTAAAACTGAGAAAAATAATAATGAATATGTTAATTAACACTTAGGTGCCATTAAGCACCACACATCAGCAAAACAGTGAATAAATGCCTACCCATTGAAGGAAGCGCCAAAATGAAGTTTTCTCAAATGGTAGGTGATGAATCAATTTTTGGTGATGTATCAATTTTTTGTGCTAAGTACCTCGTCATTTGGTCTGCTACCAAGTGGCCGATGACTCAGAAGCCGAAGTGAACTTTTGCTGGATGAGGACCTGGATGCCGAGCTGGGGACAGATTAGGTGCCGAGTTAACTGGGCCGAGCTGGGCAGGTTAGGTGCCGAGCTAGGCAGGTTAGGTGATGAGCTGACCAGAGTGCCGAGCTGACCAGAGGGCCGAGCTGCCTGGTGGCGAGCCAGATTGATTGTTGAGCTTCGTAGTTCTTTAGAGACCTACAAGGAATCAATGTCAGAGGACCCAGGGTGGCTAACCCGGCGAGGTCGCTCTGATGCTTAAGTCAGTACTCTCATAGTATACTGCAAGCTAAAAATCACAAAGTATGAGAGCTGGAATATGCTTACTTGCCCCCCCCCCCCCATGTCATTGGCGTTGGTACCTTTATAAATGCATTGTTTGGCGTGGGCTTCACGCACCACATACGAGATTTCTGAGAAGTTGTCTAAGTGGTTCGAGATTCCTTGAGGCAACCACCATGCATGTTGACCACCCTCCGGATCGTTCGACACATGAGTCAACTTCCAAGGATCGTAGGAGTGTTAGGATATGCATGCCGAATTTGTCGGCAAGCACGTCTCGCAGGTCGCCAGGTCGGTGCCTGTGCTAAGTCACCAATTCGGCGCCTGTGCCAGGCCGCCAGTTCGCGCTTGGGCCAGGCCGCCAGGTCGGTGCCCGTGCCAGACCGCCAGGTCGGGGCCTGTGCCAGGCCGCCAGGTGGGACACCATCAACTTGGCTAAGGCAAGTTGTTGCCTAAGTGGTTCCAGGTGTCACCTAGTTGTTCCAAGGTGCCATGTGTCACAATATCATTGGAGGGCCAAATCCGCCCTCATCAGTAGGCGTGCACATAAATCAATGCTTGCTTTTACAAATCTCTATGCATACAGATCTGGATATTGAGGGAAATGCTGAAATGACACCTATGTGACAACGTTTATTCAATGAACGCCCACAGTTCCAAACACCGCCTAGTCGGTGCAAATGATTTAAGTGAAATTTCTGACTTATTATTGTTTCAAATTTTAGCTTATTTTGTTTGGTTGAATTGCAAATGAAGTAAATTAAAATATGAAACAGGATAAAGTAAATCACAAAACAAAATTAAATAAGAATTTGCATTTTTTTCATTTGTACTTTTGTAGCAATGCAAATAAAATTACACTCCAACCAAACGCAATCTAACAAACCATTCAACCTAAAAGCTTAAGGCCCTGTTTGATGATTAAGTACTTGTTAAAAGAAGTACTTGTATAACAAGTACTTCTTAGAAGTACTTATTTTAACAACCACTAAGGTTGTTGATAACCCACTTTTCAAATCACTTATTATATTCTTAAGCACTTATTGGGGTGGGGATGTTTGGTAAGTTACTTTCCCCATAAGTGTTTATATTGACACAAATGACAATTTTACCCTCCACTCAGATCTCTCCCTCTCCTCTCATTTTCTTCACCGAAACTGTAGATTCTGACAATTTTTGGACCAGTCCACGATGATTCTGCCATGATTTCTTGGAAGACATTGTTTTAATTCTGCAATTTTTCTGTATCGCGCCACTTCATCTTCGGTTTGTTGCTTCTCTCCTTTACTGAAAACCATTTTTTATTACTCTTCCTGTTTCCTCAATATTCCTTAATCGTTCTTCTGATTCTCTCTCTCTTAGATCAATGGATGTGAAATTATTGTTATGGATACATTCTGCTTTTATCTCCGATGAAGGATTTGAATACTTATGGATACTAGCGCCACCTATCAGAATTGATATCGTTTGATTTGTTTTCCACCAAATGTGATTCCACAATTGGAGTTACCATTTGAAAACTTCTTATATATGTTCGCCATCGGTAACTTTTCCTTCTTTCTTCATCAAGTGTTGGCTGGGGAAGTTGATTGTTCCTCTTTAACTCTGTTTCAATCGGTAATAAACCAGAAAATAGCAATTCTTATCAACAACTATAACTCTTAAGAAAATTTAGCAATTCTTATCAACAACAACTGTAACTCTTAAGAAAAACTCCCAAATCCCTGTTCAAGTTAAGAAAGTGTCGAAACAACTTTGAAAGGAAGAAAACATATATGCAGCATTATTGGAAATTTCATAAGTTGTAGCCGTTAATTTCAACAGAAGTCACGGCAAGCGCCTCGCAAAATGTGACCGAGTGACCGGAGACAGATTTACCACTAAGCCACCGCAGTGCAGAAATGAACAAAATCAGATAACGTCCCAATATGGTCAGATAGAAATAAAATGACAAGAAGAAAAATAGAGAGAAAAAGAGAACCCACGATTGGGGGCGCAGACATGAACATTGTATTCACCTTGTCGGACCAGAGCCTCGACTAGGAAGGTTAGGCTCGGGGCATCGATTCCATCCGCATTAGTGACTAACACAACAGGATTGGAGCAATCCTAATCGGAAGAGGAGGGAGGGGAAGAAGAGGAAGAAGGTTCTGTGGATTTGTCAGTCTTCTTCGACTGTTCGTCGCCGCCACCTTTTCTGCTAGTTAGAACGTCTTGTAGATTAGATATTAGGAATGGGGGTAAAAAGTTGTTCTTCACAGAAGTCATCATTGAGATGCTGCCGAAACTAAAAATTATTTGCAACTAGGAATTCAATCACACAGATGACGAAGAACAAGAAATGGATTTGGTGGTTTTGGGTTCAAAAAAAAGGAAATGAAAATCAAAAACCCTAGAAACCAGAAAGATAGTCCTGAAAAGGAGGGTAATAAAGCGGGCGATAAAAAGGGGTCCCCAGTCCCTACCAGAGACGAGAGAGAGAGAGACCGAATGGAAGAAGAAGATGATAAACTTTTCTTTCTTTCTTCATCAACGGTGGCTTTTGTTCACTGTGGAATGTCACCGGTGGACCTACAATCAAACACCGTCGGTGGACCTGCAACCAAATGCCACCGCTGCCTGTTGTTGCAGGGTTTCGAATGGAAGAAGAAGATGATAAACTCGAGCGGGGGTAGTTTTGTCATTAAAGAAAAAAAGGGACAGGTTTGTCCCATTCGAATGAAGATGCACTTCTTCAGAAAGTGCTGAAAAAAAAACCATATGCATATCACTTTTTAAAAACTTTTTTAAAAAGCCATATCCATGTACAGACTTTAATAATAAGCAAAAAGTTGAAAGAGTCTCTTCAATGAGTTCGCCCGAGGTGGCGCTCCACAACGTCCCATAGCACATCTTCTTGTATCTGAAACATCTTTCGATGATGACATCATCATTTCTGGTATTTTCATCGGGAGATGTTCCTAATATACGACAAGATGTGTTGTGGAACGTTGTGGGGCACAGATCTGAACTCCTCTTCAATGGCTTGGTGTGTTGATACAATATTTGTTTACTCTCCCACCTAGGGCTATTGATTAAATCAATCAAACCAATCAACCCAACCCGAGTTGGTCGGTTTGGTTTAGTTTTTATGCTAATCCCAGAGGTTGGGTCGGTTTCAATTTCATATTTTTTAGTTTAAAATATTATAATTTTTATTTTTTAATTTAATTTTTAATAATATCATTATTGATGAGGGTGATTTGGCCCGACCTACTAAATAGCGACACGTGGATGCGACCCGATGACTGGACAGTGACTCAGCATTTCCTACCACCTCAGTAGGCCAGGTCACCTCGGGTGCCTTGGTCACCTCGGCCAAACCAAGGTCCAAGTAGATCGAGATGGCCCAACTTACCTAGGTGACACATAGCGAATTTCTAGAAGCAAGCCAACTGTCTCTGAAATCTTCAGGATCACGTCGCACGACTGTAGGTTTTATCCTCATCCCGCCCAGATCAAACAGACACGATAAGCCTTATCAGCTAGCACGATATCCACCTCCTGGTGCAGAACGAACTCCTAACAATGCGGGCCGAGGATCTCAGAGGTGTTTTGTGAGACCCACGGTAGCTCATCTATATAAGGGCACCTACCACAGTGACCCAAGGTACATGCGATTTAGTGGATTCTAGCTCTCTTACTCTAAAGCTTTCAGCTTGCACACATTAAGATACTAACTTAAGCATCGGAGTGACCATGTCGGGTGATCCACCCCGAGTTCTCTGAGCATTCCTTCTTTGCAGTTCGAACGACCATCTAAACAACCGACATCCGAACTGGCATCTAGCTAGGAGCAATCAAATCGCGCACCATCAATTGGCGCCGTCTGTGGGAACCACTACACAAAAGCTAAGTTCCTACTTCTAGTTACCTTATTTCTTTCTACGATACTCTACTAATGGCATCTTCAAGCAACACCATCAAGAGTGTTGAGATGACCACTGTTACTAGGGGGCAGGATCAGCTTCCACTCAACCCTAAGATCCCCTCGGTAACTATTGGACAGTTCACTATCCCCCTCACTAGTTCGGGGGTACCAACAATTCAGAACCAAACCTTCAACACTTAAATTGTTAGCGCACCTCTACCACATGTGAGCACCGCCATCCCAATCGCAGAGCCTTCAGTGGTTCCTCCGGGGGTTGGAGCACAGCAGTTCCATGAGCTCATGCAGAGCGTACAGATTATGCAGATCCAGATGCAACAAATTCAGCAATTCCAACAGTACCAGTACCAGCAATATTATCAACAACAGTTCCCCCTCTCCAGTAGACTCAGTCGAACCAACAGAATCAGTACCTCAACGGACGCCGAACACCTCCTTGGGTCCCAACTCCACCCCGCAACCAGACACCACCTCATGACCCCTCGCTAGGTCGGCGTCGATCACCACCCCGACAGGCTGTGGACTAGAGAAATTGGCCACAGCATAGCCATCACAGCGATCAACAACAACGGTCGCGTAATGACCAGCAGCACCGCAATGACAAACAGCAGGTCAGCAACCAACAACCTGGGATAAGAGGCTCAGCCCCAGCTTGGGACCCCTCAATTCCCCATAATAGTCAAGATCTAGCCCGCGTCAGTGAGCATGCCAGCAACAGAGATCAACTCCCTCCTCGGAGCAGCATCCAATATTGGGAGAACACCAAGGTCGAGGTACCGGCTAGCACCAAGGTGAACAACACCAATCAGGAAGCAGCAAAGAAGCGACGCCGTCACAGAGCACGCCACACCTCGGCAAAAAGCAGTACCCTAGCTAGGGGTGTAAACGGATCAAATTCAAATCGGATCAAGCAATATCCGAATTCGAATCTAATTAGAAAATTCGATATCTGAATTCGATTTGATATCCGACGGGTATTGAAAATTAATATCCGAATTCGAATTCGATTAATTAATTATTTTAGATAATTAATAAATATATAAAATAAATATTTTATTGATATAAAGTATATAAATATATAAATTATTTATATAACTTAGTTATTATATATAAATTATAAAATATTTTATATATTATACATAAGAATTAAATAATCGATCAAATTCAGATATTTATCGAATCGAATCAGGTCATATCTGAATTTGAATCCGATTAACTATTTGGTAAGAATAAGATATCCGAATTCGAACGATTAGATATTCGAATTATTCGAATTTAATTTGATAATGTTGAATATCAAATTCAAAATTGGATTTTTGAATATCGTTAACACCCCTAACCCTAGCAGTAGCGATAAAAAAGAAGAAAGAAGAAGTGAGCACGATAACTACACAGCCAGCTCCTGTTTTGTTGAGCCGGCCTTCCACCTGCATGTTTGTTTCTTTTTTCTCTCTAATCTGTATTTCTGGGTTTTGCGCAATAAATTTATTGCAAACACTTAGGTGAACGCATTTTATTTAAGGGTCTCTGGATCGTCATGCAACCGAAATAAAAATGCGAGGTCAGATAGGTTCCTCTATCTAATCCAGCCTTCCCAAGACCCTTAATGGTAAGTACCAGCATTTTCCCTCTTTTTTTCTTTGTTTCATGATGTGGAATTATCTAGAATTGGTTGAGAAGACATTGTGGGAAAAACTTTAACCCTGCACATGCAAAATAAACTGAACTGCAAGTTTGGTTGTTATTAGAAAAGTAGTAATGCACAAGGTTTCTGGAATTACATGCATGATCAAGAAATTTGGAAACTACAGCCAACAAGGTAACATAAATAGAAGAGAATCAGAATATGAAATCAATCGCAATTTAGAGACGTGTTTGAAAACATGAAAAACCACACAACTTTCACTTCGTGAAAGAAGAAATTACAGATATTTTGGGGGAATGTACAGAAATAAGTACTAAGCATTTGAGAAACCATCCAGACAGATTCATACCAAATGATCTATCATCTACTTCCTTTTTACAAAGCGGTATGGCATGGGCTCCAGATGCAAGTTGGGCAACCACCGCTTCTGAAGTGCATGAGCTTCCTGAGAATCTGAATTGTTAATGATGAGATCTGCTGATGGAAGGAGGTGCAAAGGATCCGTCTTCTTGTCAAACAGATTCTCCAGCAGAACCCCGATAACAGTATATTGGCTCACCACATGCCCGACGTTTCCAGCTCCGGCGACCACCATCTGATCCCTACTCTCAAAATACGTTTTATACTCCACGCAGATGGGATCCTTCTTATTCAGAAAAAGACGTGGAACCCATTTGGACAACTCCACGAACGAATGATTTGTGCTGGGGAGATTCGTAACAAGTTGGAATTTCGAAGTGTTTTTAACTTTCCGAATCGTATCTCTTAATCCCTCATGTTTGATCATTTCTGTAGGCAAAGATGAGAATGGTGGATTGAAGAGATAAGTTTCAAGACAAACGCCAGTCTTGACCATGTGCTTTCCAGCGAACAGTGCAAGGGCAGACCCCAATAGTGACCAGCCAACCAAATATTCGAACCTCCAACCTTGGCAACCATTTCCGCCACTCTTTCTCTTGCAAGCTCTGCGCGTGAAGCTTCATGAAGTTTATTGAAGATGATCCGCACGTCGTCTTTCAAATCGAATAACATGGTTTTCCCCTGAGTATGGTTCCTCGAAATGCAAGAATGTATCTTGGAGCATCCTGTATTGGGCGGTTGCGATCAGAAACCGGAGGTTTAAATTCATATACAGCTCCAAAAATGGAACCACGTTTGTCGATGAGCTTATTTTCTTCCTGCAATTTAAAATGGAAGGACTCCCACCATTGGGGTGCGAGAGCTAATGGTGGGAGTCCTTCCAACCCCTGTCGACCCTTTTGCCGGTCTCTCTCTAGAACATACACACCTTTTACCAAGCTAGCTGAAACTGTTCTTCGGTAATCTGCGCTTGTCCTGTTCATGAGAAGAAGAATTATTTGTTGATGAGCCGATTGTTTATGCAGATCCAACTGCCAAAACCCTCTAACCCTCTTCTGCAGTGAATGATCGATCAGACCTTAAAGCTATACATGGGGATGGGTCAATGGCCGAGCTCAAGCCCCACTAACGATATGATTCTCAGAAAACCTGGACTCAACATCTTATTATATGCAGATTTTGACTCAACCCTCCTTGACCTTGAGTCAGATCTGCATATAATAAGATGTTGGAGTCTGGGAACTTTTTCTCCAGATTCCAACATCTTATCATATGTGGTGAAGTGCAGGATAATGACGTTCTATGTTTACTGTTATAAAAATTAAAACCATGGAAAATTAGCATCGCCCAATACTGACTTAATGATCCACTTTTCCCGTATTTAATTATAGATGGATAGGTTGATTGATACATGAATTTTATTTATAAGGAAATTGTCTTACCAATCAGCAACAATATCATCTGAGTGTCCCGACCTGCTGAATTTATCCTTCTCAGAAGACATGCTTAACACCCCCATTTTGCTCTTAAATTTGATCTCTCCCCAGTATCTACAAAAAGAAAAATTATAATAGTCGAGACTAGATGGGGCATAATCTCCAAATTGGCAGGACTGGACACCACGTAAAAGCTTAAAAGTTCTTCTTTTATTGATAAAACAGAGTGTTTTTAGACCCTCTTTACCCCAGTTTATGCAGAAAAGAGAGGCATGCTTTACCTCAGCTTATCCCAGAGAGGATCTCTCATATTCTTATGTTGTTCGAGGAAGGAAATTAATTTTGAGATTTTCTTTTACTATATGACGAAATCAAGGAAGAGGAAAATATATCAACAAACTGAAACTCACCTTTAATTAAGACAAATCAGAGCTCTATCAAGCCGAGGTTGTAGATATCAAACTCCTCCAACCTGATCCTCACCAAGCTGTTACAGATTCAGAGAACAAGAAACTGAAAGAGCAAATAAACTGCAAATATCACGAATAGAAACCAGAGTAAGGATGCAGAGTCTAACCTTATATTTTGCCTTTGGCATTCTACAAATCGCTGTATTTCTTTTCCTTATATGGATAAATGCATTAGTAGTTTCCAGAAAATGAGGGGATCACAAGTCAAACAATTACTTAATTTCTTGGTCATATAATGGGAATTGTTTGGTTTGGTAGGGGGTTGTCATTAATTATCATAATATCAACATAATAAATCGATACAATATTTATATGTAGTCATAGTTAGAACTCATCAGAAGTAACTAGCTTGAATGAAAAGTCAATACAAACTATATACGCGCCAAATGAAGGAACTTGGCTATCTTAATTCTGCCTATATTATATATATCTTATAGTCTTTTATCTTAAAAATGACAAAAAGAGGGACTTACATTTGACACTTGGCAAAGTTTATTTAGCCTAAAAACTGCTTTTAAGCAAAAAGGTAGAAATGGAAGGTCGCAAGGTTCCTTTTTGGCCCAAAATAAATTGCCATATGGAACATTTTTGTTACCACATCTTCTCTTCAAACCTCTATTAATTTCCAAAGCCAAGTTTCAGGTTTCAGCCAAATGCTTTGTTAAAAAAAAAATCACTTCTTATATTTTGAATTGAAAACTGAAATAGTGAAATGTGCATAAGGTGGGGAGATTGGATTATGATTAGGGGTGTTAATTGGATTGGATTTGGTCCAATCCAGACCAGTCCAATGTGAGTCCATTACAAATGGACCTGGTTCAATCCAGTTCAATGGATATTTTGGACCAATCCAGAGACTGTCTAATCTGTTCAAATTCCTGTTTAATTTAGATTGGTTTCAACTCAAAACTAGTCCTTTGATACCTATGTTTTTATTTTCTATCAATGGATCAGATATTGGCTCAGTTCAATATAAATTCATTATGGACGGATCAGGTCCAATCCAATTGGTCCATCCAGTCCATCCAATTCATCTAAATGAATTTTGATTTGGACGAATTCCAACCCAAAACCGGTCCATTGACAACCTAGGTTATGATCATATCATCATACTTCTTTCGAAACAAGCCCAATTGACATTTTTATTTATTTTTATAATCAAGCCTCAAGTCTGATTTGACTTTCGACTTATGGTTTTTCTTTAAAAAGTGTTTTGGAACTGTTGTGCATATATAAGAAAACAAAGTCAATAAGCAATCCAGCTTGTTTGTTATCTAAGCAATTACTTTGTACGGAAGGCGATACATGTAATACAGTAATAGTTCCTTCTTCTCCTATACTCACCCATTTTTAAATTTGAATTTTGACTTGGAGCAAGGATCAAAACATGCCATCCTTAGATCGTCTCATCGTCGAATACATAAAATAAATAATACAAGGTTTTGTACTCTATAAATTTGTATTTGTATCCAACCCAATTTTTCCAACTTCATCCAATCCTCTCTCACATTTCCAATGTGCGTAGGAAAGGTCAAGCAAAGAGCAAATCCAGATTACTTTATTGAACGCTGAACTGGTATTATCAGTCCGTTGTATTGTAAAAGGAGGAATTTTGTAGGAAAAAATGTTGATTTGGGCCCTTTGGTCCTTCATGTCTTGCTCTTGCATTGTGACAGAACATGCAGCACATCTGGTGGAGTGACAGAAACAGGTTGCTTCACGTAAGGAAGCTCTCCTTATTTGATGCAATTAAGATATGAATGGTATTAGGCTACATTGTTATTCTGTTATTCTGACCCACCAAACTGACATAACCAATGTAAATGTCCTGTAGGACCTTAGTAATAAGCCAGGACTCGAATTGGCCTCTTTCAGTCCACTGTCTAAAATTACAACCTAGGCCTTTCCTATGGTGGGTAGGGCTTAGGGCCAGACTGGCCCATAAATCATAATAGGGCTGGGCTGCAACAAATAGTTGCTGTTTCACCGAATTTGAATTCAAAGTATTCCATTTGAATTAAGGCAATATCAAACCGATCCATTTACAATTTGGGTCTATACTAATATACATCTATCGTGAATTTTGTTTGAGTTAGTATGTCAGAGTCCAAAGTTTTCCTTTTTCTTTTTATTTTTTCTTTTTGATAATGGAATCATAAATTCAAGTCTCATAGAAGTGTTTAGCACAAAATTGGGATTACGAGATTCAGAATTTAGCGTGTTACTTTAAAAATAAGGAGTTGACCAAAAAATACTTTAGAAATAAGGAAAATTAATGCAATAAATTCTTTGTAATTTGTATTATTTTTAATTGGTATAGGAAATTGAAATCATACTTCATAATTTTTCCTTGACAAAAATGTACATTCATGCATATGTACATACATAAATATTTGATATTTGTATTTATATATATTAACATAGTAAGGGCTCATTTGTTTTTGGGATTTTGAGAGGGGGAAGTTAGTTAATAGGATTTGGGTCTCCACTGATTAGGATATTTATGTTCTTTTTTTATATTTATGTGGGGATTATAGAAAATTTATTACCCCTAAGTGTAAATGATATTCAAAAGTTATCAAAACTTGGATGGAATAAAATTGACCTTTTTAATAATGGATTTTTATAACTAAAACAATCATTGTCTTATTTACCTAAGAAGTAAAAGAATATGGGTAAAACTTTAAAAACACTTACCCTGATGGAAAGTATTTCTTAGAAAATACTTACCCAGATAAATGCATTTATTCGGTTAAATAACTTCTCGACAAGCAAACGGGGCATAAAAGTCATCTCTCATCGGGGTTGAATTGCCCAATGCTTCGTACAAGATCCAACCCAACCCAAAATTAAGTTCGATTCATATCTTTTCAATCCTAATCCTAGCATACCTTCAATCCATATTTGCACTACCCAAACACAAATCCTTCTTTAAATTTGATTTTGGAATGGCTGATTATTCTAGAACCTTGTTTGCATATTTGTTCAGAGCACTATCTTCAGCTCGGAAGCGAGCTTGTTGTTCCTCCATTCGGCTGGAGATTGGAACTCTGAAGCAGCTCTACCAATTCTGTAAAAAGAAGCCGTTTTCCGGCTATTTTCCTCATAGAGTCGTTAAATTCTTCTGTTTTGAGATCAAGTCCGGATTCATCTGTATGTCAGTCAATGAAAACCAAGATTGACTTTCCCCCACGTCCTCTCAAAATCTGAAAAACAAACGGGCCTTTAGGATTCGTCTGCATCCTCTGGTTCAACGTAGCCGAAACAGAGAAATAGTGTGACGCACGATCAAGAGCAATGCTAGTTTCTGTTTCAGGAATCTTATCACAAAAGAAAAACACGAATACGGGTGGGTAGGAGTCTTACAACTTGCTCTTCAAGGTCAGGTAGTCCGATTCTAGCAGTCGCCCATGAACTATTCACAAACGAACAAGAATTTGGGTTCACCTGTGATAATAACCCGATCGAAATGGGAAATTGTCATTTATCCGGTCTTTAGTCTTTACTCAGATCTTGTCCTTAATCTGAACTAAATCAACTAATCAGCCTGCAGGCTTCAGCGGCATTGATTCCGGTTCCCAAGTCGAAGTGATTGAAATGGGAAAGCAGAACAAATGCCTTTTGGATGGGACAAAGAAACGCATAGCATAGCACGTGTCTTGCGAATGCCTTTTGTCTCTACTGTAATTTCCACCTTTATTTATTTTGTTATTAGGGATGACCCGTAAGCCCAGGTTATTTTCACGGTTCATCATTAATCCTCAAAACGCCACAAATCAAAGCCCACATCGTTCAATAATTGGGCTGGGCCATATATCATTTGATGATCCCCCATCAGAGTTTGTGGAGGCTTGGATCCTAATTACATCTGATGGGTTAGTGTTAGTGGTCTAACATTACATAACTCCGTCCTATATTGCCCTTTAACTGTGTCCTCAACCAACCCAACCTTGCATTATTCCCTTTTTTAGAGGCCTATGCAGTTTGTGTCAACTTGACGCGCGTTTTAGGTTGAAATGACATTTTAGCCTAATGTTGTATTTTAGCTCAATGGTAATGCCGCGTTCCTATATTAATTCTGCCTATATATATATATATATATATATCATTTGCCATCAGATATATATATATATATATATAATTTTATATAAGGGAAGACGGCGAATCTGCTTGTTAACTTTTGTTATTGGCTGTATGCAAGCGATAAATTTAATTTTATATTTTAATATTATCCAATATCTTTAGTCAATTTCTACAGTTTGGATCATTTTATGGGTTAAGGTCTGGAACCACCTGGCTACCTATGTCATATCCCTCAATACATAATAAGGGACTAAGGGTGCATATAATGGGCTCCAGATATGGGTTCACATTGGAGATAACCCAAGCCCGATTCGTAAACAGCTTTACACACATGTTCAGAGTTCAACAGTGTTGTTGGTTTTCTTAGATTTTGGTTCGGCCCATTCGTGACTGGGCCCGGGCCTTCTGGTCCCACCCCACATCGTGAAATCACGTTTCGGGATATTATTCGAATTCAAGACGACCGATGTTTCGTGTGTCATCATGGACAGCTGACATCCGCTGTCTTTGAGAGAGAAATTTTGTCAAAGATAGGATCTTAACTACAATTCTACAAATGTTAATTGTGTACGCGTTACTTTTTCTTTCTTACATGTAAATAAGAAAAAAAAAAAAAAAAACGGAAAAGATCGTCAGCAAGCATCCGGAAACAGCGGGGTCGACGCAAAATTACTAAACAATACAAATTTTTAAACCATATATTAATTACAGTGATTCATCCATGACAATCTATAAATATTTCTGTTTTAATTTAGTGAGAGAAATCTCAGATCTCTATCTCTACTTGATTTGTTTCCTCCATCTCTCTTTCTCCCTCTCTTCCCTCTCTGCGGACAACTCATTGTACTGTCTTTCTTCTTCGAGAATATGAGGAACTAGCGATACGTCACCTAGGGCTTTTGTCTCTGTCTTCTAGTTTTACATTCTCTAGATACGTACAAGGAGCGAGCGGGAGAGGGAGATGGGTCAAGAAGGTTTTACCGCTATCAAGAGAGGCGGAGCAGGTGGCGGTTCGATCCCCACCACCAATAGGCTCTCCGGGGGTCGTGCATTTCCCGGCATCCCTCGCGGCCGCCAGATCCACAAGACCTTCAACAACCTCAAGATAACAATTCTCTGTGGCTTCGTCACTATTCTCGTCCTCCGTGGCACCATCGGCGTAGGCAACCTCGGCGGCTCTGACGCCGAAGCCGAGAACCAGAACCTCATCGAAGAAACCAACCGCATCCTCGCTGAGATCCGATCTGACGGTGACCCTTCCGACCCTGATGATACTGCCGAGGTCGAGATTAATCCGAACGTCACTTACACACTTGGCCCCAAGATCTCAAATTGGGACGAAGAGCGAAAGGCCTGGCTAGACCGCAATCCCGAATTCCCCAACTACATCAATGGAAAAGCTCGAATCTTGCTCGTTACTGGGTCTCCACCGAATCCGTGTGACAACCCGATTGGAGATCATTACCTTCTCAAGGCTATCAAGAACAAGATTGATTACTGTCGAATTCACGGCATAGAGATTGTTTATAATTTGGCACATCTTGATAAGGAGCTCGCCGGGTACTGGGCAAAGCTACCGTTGATACGGCGGCTTATGCTGTCGCATCCGGAGGTGGAATGGATCTGGTGGATGGACAGTGATGCGTTGTTCACCGACATGGTGTTTGAGATTCCTCTTTCCAAGTATAATGACTATAACTTCGTTGTTCATGGGTACCCAGATTTGATGTTTGAGCAGAAATCCTGGATTGCTTTGAACACCGGTAGCTTTCTGTTCAGGAATTGCCAGTGGTCTTTGGATTTGCTTGATGATTGGGCTCCCATGGGTCCGAAGGGTCCGATTCGTGACGAGGCGGGAAAGATCTTAACTGCAAATTTGAAGGGGCGGCCAGCATTCGAGGCTGATGACCAGTCGGCATTGATTTACTTGTTGATATCGAAGAAGGAGTGGATGAATAAGGTGTTTCTTGAGAATTCTTACTACCTTCATGGATACTGGGCTGGACTGGTAGACCGGTATGAGGAGATGATGGAGAAGTACCATCCTGGATTGGGAGATGAGAGATGGCCATTTGTTACCCATTTTGTGGGTTGTAAGCCTTGTGGGAGCTATGGGGATTATCCCGTGGAGAGGTGCTTGAAAAGCATGGAGAGAGCGTTTAATTTTGCAGACAACCAGGTGCTCAAGTTATATGGGTTTAGGCACAGAGGCTTGTTGAGTCCCAAGATCAAGAGAATCAGGAATGAGACGGCAACCCCTTTGGAATTTGTAGATCAGTTTGATATAAGGCGTTCAGTTGTTGGAGGAACTGATTCAAAGAGCCCGTGAGTAATGCAGGCTTCCTCCTTTTTCATAATCCAAATGTAATGTAATTCTTAGTTAATGCAGGCTTCAAATATAGTGTTAGTGGGTTTTTGTTTCTGTGACATTGCTTTTGAGAAAACAAAAGTAGATTCTTTTATTTTTTTTCTTGCCCATTTTATTCGGATTACCCAACAAGGAAGAAGGAACACTGTTTTATAAACTGGAAAACGGACATGAAGCTCTCTTTTTGGGTATCTTGATGGTTTGGTTGTGTCTCCTCCCCTCCCATTCAATACCAGACAGAGTGCAACAGTCTGCATTGAACGAACAGAATCAATAGGAACAGAGAATTTAGCAAATATGATAGACAGGGACATTTATGTATTGTTACAGACACATTAGGATGGGTAATGGCGGTCTAGAGAACCCCGGGATGCTAATCCGGTGAGGTCGCTCCGATGCTTAAGTCAATAGGCTACTAGCGAACTAAAATTGCTTGAAAATGAGAGAGCTTGAGAGCAGGAAATCACGCATACCCTGCACCCCCGGGGGGTGAAGCCTTTATATAGTGGAGTCCTCGTGGGTTTCGCGGAGTGAGATCTGTTTCCGCGATAATGGGGATAACTGATGGGGCTTATCAAGTCCGCCCGAACCGGTCGGGGGAGATAACGCTAGCTGTTACGCGGCGTGATCCCGCGAGGCCCGGAATCTGATGGCGAGATCTTCGGGGTTGCCACGTAGTGGTCTGTTAGTATTACCCGAGCTACCACTCTTTAGATCTGGCTTGGGGCGAATGCCGAAGTGCCTTGGGATCGAAGTTGTCCTGATCCGACCTTACACCTAGGTGAACTCGTCCCGAGGTGGTTTGATTATCCGAGCTCGATCTGTTGCGGACTCGGCATGTCGGGCTAAGCTGTCATCTTACTAGTTAGGCCGCGTCCACATATCTCCCTGTTGCTTGGTCGGGCCAAATTGCCCTTCATCAATTGCCCCCCACTCCCCGAGCCGGGGATCCCGACCTAGTGTGGGGAGTTCATGATGGGTCCAGATGGATTTGGCACGAGGTTTAGGCGGTCTGTCGAGCGGATCAACCAGTCGGACCTGTTTAAACCTCCGGTTTAACCGGCCGTAGCCCAGGTCGCGTTGGGTGTACACGCGGATGCCACACTGTTTATGGACTCCGTGAACGTCAAAAACGCACTCAACCGATTTCGTCCTCGGGCGTCGTGCAGTCGGTTTTCATGTGAGTCGTTGGATCGAGTAGATCTCAGTCGTTAATCGCCTCGCAGTGAACTATAAATAGGGGGCCGAGGGACCCCTCTTTTTTGCCAAAAATTCTGTGATTGAGCTCTCCTGAGGTCGCGTCGGAGTCTTTCAGCTCGCTCTCTCTTTGTATTCCGAGGTCGTCCTTCTTTTGGTGAGTTCGTGTTTTCCTTCGTTCCTTTGTTTTTTAATCATGTCTAGCTCTAGCATAGATAGGGTCTTAGGTGATTCTAGTGAGGTCGGGGCGCCGAGGTGCAGTCCCTGGCCCCTGCTGGGGAGGCCAGCTCGTCGTTGGGCGACTCTCCTCTTCAGCTTTTAGAGGGAGCTTCTATGCCTGAAGTTGGGCCATCTCGGTCTGGCGAGCCTGAGGCACGGGAGGAGGGACCGACCTCTAGGATGGAGGTCCCATCTTCTTCCCGGGGTCGGGATCCGGACGACTTCGGTCCTTCTACCCTGACCTCGGATAGGTTAATGTACTTAGTAGCCCGCTATCGTCTTCCCGATAGCTTAGTTTTCAGTGTTCCTCTAGGTCAGTATCCTTGGGATCACGACCCTTACGAGCTTGCGGTTTTTGAGGAGCAGCTCGTCGTCGGGCTGCGCTTCCCGCTCCACCCCTTCAATATAGAGATAGTCAAATTCTTTAACATCACCATTGACCAATTACACCCGAACTCTATCCGGAACATAGTAGGCACCATCTCCCTGTTCCACGAGTATAACCAACCTCTGTCCCTAGACGTCTTCAGTTCGATCTGTTCGATCAAAAAGAATTCCGCTTGTCTGCGCGGGGACGTCAGACAAAGTTACTACATCTCTCCTCGGCTCGGGTTTAAAATCCTGTTCGGCTGCCCGAACAAGGTTCTGGCCTGGAAGAGGAGATACTTCCTTGTCCGACATCCTGAGGGATGGACTTTTCCAACTCATTGGAGGGTGGCTATCAAGGATCCTGGGGTGAGTTTAGATGCGGAGACTCGGGCAGTTATCAACTCTTGGAGGGACCTCGGCCTGGAGATGAAGAATTTCTTGGCCGAGGAGAAGCTTGTGCGAGCTGGGCTGAGCCCTCCTGATAGGTCTCCACCTCGGTTTTTATTTTAAGGTTTTCTTTAGTTCGCGACTAACCCTTTTTCTTACTCTTGCAGTTACCATGCCGGAGGTCGATGCTAAGGACCTTCGTAAGAGCTTTCAGAGAGGGAAGAAGAGGAAGGCTTCGAAGAAATCTCGTCGGGAGGCCGATTCTTCTACTCCCGCCCCATCCGAAGTCCTTGCTCCGGAGCCGATCTCTGTCGAGCTCCCCGAGGAGGAGGTCCGCCCTCATGAACTCCCCGAGGAGGAGGTCTGACCTCAACCCATTGCAGTGGACTTGGACGAGGACCAGGAGGAAGACCTTCAACCTCATGAACCGGAGAGAACATCCATGTCGGAGCCCGAGTCTCCCAAGGAAAGCGTAATGACGCCTCGAATCAGACTGCTCAAGAGCAAGGGTGTCGTCTTTCCTGCCGAGGTTGCGGAATGGGCTGACATGCCTAAAAGCCAGCGCGGAGGCCGGGCTGCCAGCTACTGCATGGTGGTAAGTATCCTACTTTACATTTTATTTCCTTGTCAAACATTCAAACGTACTTACCTCGATTTTCTTTGCTAGGTGAACTCCGCCATTCACTCGTTGGTCTACCAGTCCGAAGTCCGCCTATAGAGAGCTCGGGAAGTTGAGGAGAAGGCGCAGAAACTTTACCGTGAGCTGGACATAACTCGGGGTGAGGTTCTTCGGGCCAAGAAGGGAGTTCGGAGCCAGCAGGAGCTGATCATGGCCATGACCGAGGAGAAGGCGAAGCAACAGGAGCTGATCATGGCCTTAACCTCGGAGAAGGCGAAACAACAGGAGCTGATCTCAGCAATGACCGAGGAGAAAGTGAAGCTTCAACGAGAGGTCGAGAACCTCAAAGCAATGATCCAAGAGAAGACTGAGATCTTCGAGACCGCCATCCAAGAGGCGTGGGCTGAAGAAAGAAACCATGCCATTGACTGCTTCAAGGAATTCTCGGAGTTCCACGATCTCTAGGTCGAATATGGATCGAGCTCCTATTGTTCTGGCTTCAAGTTGTGCAAGTACCTAATGTGGCAGAAATTCCCTGATCTTGACCTCAAAGTCGTCTCTATGTCTGACCTTACTCCCGAGGTGGCGGAGACGGTGAACGAAGAGCCCGGCTCGTCTGAAAAAGAGAGTGACGAGGAAGTCCTAGAGGTGGGCCCATCGGGTCAAGAGGACGCGGAGGAGCATATGGAGACCGACCTGCCTGGTAGTCCGCATGCATGATCCCGGTTTTTTCTTCTTTTTACTGTTTGGATGTACACCCCGAGGCCACCGAGCTCGGGTTATAATGAGATCTTTGTACTTAAAATCTTTCCATCAATGAAATACGAACTTTTTTTGAGTAATCCTTGTGCAAAAATATTCTAAGTGTAAATGACTCCTGATCTGGCGATCTAAACTAGACAGAGGTAGGAGTAGGTGTATAGGTTACCCTGAATTGTCGGGCTACTGAGCTAGACAACAAGTAAGGAAAACTAAAGTAAAAATTTTTCTAAGTGTTTGTCACCCTGAACTGTCTGCTAGGACTATTAGTAGGGGCAACTTTACGTAATTTACACCGAGGTGGGCGACATTGCAGGGTATATACCCGACCTGTCCGCACACGGGCTACTCATTTAAATGTCGATTGTCCCTAACGGGCCCAACCTGTTGTTATATGCCGAAGTGGGCTAGACATTGTAGGGCTCATACCCGAGTTGTCTATGCCTTAGGCATTAGAGGTACTTTGCCTATGCAAAAGAGGCGACTAGGACTTATATGCCCATGTCGAGGAGGCGACTGGGACTAGTTCGCCCATGTCGGAGAGGCGACTGGAACTTATGAGGTGTCGAGGTCTTTTGTCAGCTCGACACCTTAACCCTTAGGCTTTGGGAGCGACTCACAGTTCGCTCTCCTTACCCTTGGTTTTGCCCATGCCGGAGAGGCGACCAAGTCTTGTCTGCCCATGCCGAGGAGGCGATTGGGACTTGTATGCCCATGCCGAGGAGGCGACTGGGACTTATCGTAGCGCCGAGGTCTTTTATCAGCTCGACACTTTTAGTCCTTGGACTCCTGGGTGTGACTCGTAGTCCTCTCTCCAATTCGGCAATCACAAGTACTATCACCTTAGGTTGTTGATGTTCCACACTCGAGGTACCTGCTTTCCTTCTAAGGTTTCGAGCTCATACGTACCTTCCCCGAGTACCCATCTTACTCGGTATGAACCTTCCCAGTTCGGTCCGAGCTTACCAACACCGGGCTCAAGTACCATGCCTTTTCTAAGGACCAGGTCGCCGACACGGAAGTGTCGTTTCTTGACCCAGGCGTTATAGTACTGAGTCACCCTTTGCTGGTAGGCTGCAATCCGAATGTACGCTAGGTCCCATACTTCTTCCACCAGGTCGAGGTTGGTACGGAGCTCGTCATCGTTTGCTTCTTCGTCGTATGCCTACAGGCGTAATGTAGGCACCTCGGTCTCGGTTGGGATTACCGCTTCTGTGCCATAGGTGAGGTTGAAGGGGGTTTCACCTGTGGCAGTGTTGACGGTGGTTTGGTAAGCCCATAGTACACTAGGCAGCTCATTTACCCATAGTCTTTTAGCTCGGGCTAAGCGGGCCTTTAGTCCACGGAGTATAGCTCTGTTCGTGACTTCCGCCTACCTGTTTGCCTGAGGGTGTGCCACCAAAGTGAAGTTCTATTGTATCCCCATCTCGGTGCACCAACTCTGGAACTTGATATCTTCGAACTGCTTACCGTTGTTAGAGATAAGCACCCGAGGTAGCCCGAAGCGGCATACTATATTCCTCCAAAAGAAGTTTTGTATGCTTCGGGCTGTGATTGTTGCTAGGGGTTCCGCCTCCACCCACTTCGTGAAGTAATCCACTACTACC